TGAATTAAGGTTTGAATTAGATAATAAATCACTCAATTTTCCATTTCTACTTTCAGATCATAATCAGCCCTGAATTATTGGTTTTAATGTTATTAAGTATTTTTGCCAAAATTTGAATGTTTGTTTTTTGAATTGTTTTCCAAATTTAAAGGCCAAATTTGTTTAATATGTTGTAAGATTGTTAAAATCAGATGATCCTATTTGTAAAGTACGTAGTGGTAATAGAAATCAAATTATTCCATGTAAAAGTTCAAAGATTGTACGTGCATCTATTAGAACTCGTGTATGTACTAGTAGTTCACCACTTACCTGTTTATTTACACCTGATGTGTTTTACTCCTCTGAGCAAGGATTGGAGCTACAGGAAGTTTTGTTGACAGTAGGTAAACCACAACATGTCAATATTGTCGTTCGTAACGTGACCAATTCTGAAATTTTTGTTCTTTACAACCGATAAAGTCCATAATACAAACAGTTCCATCTGGGGATAAAGACAAGAATCTGCCATCTAACAATGTTGCGTATAAATGTGATGATGAGAACTTGACATCGTTGTGGGAACCCCCGGTAGATATTTGTAACTTATGTGATTCAGAACAATCTGTTAAAACTTTTACAAAGTCATTCGGGTGTGTTTTCGAAACAGGACAATGATATCGGGTTTGCACCAGACTTAAAATGGATATTCTACTAAGTGATCAAGTTCCAGTAAAACAGTCATATATTTCGATACCCACACCATTACTGGATGAAGTAAAAGATCATATTGGGAATTTGTTAGCTAAAGGATTTATACGCAAGTCAAAATCTCCGTTCTCAAGTCCATTAGTCTATGTTCGTAAGAAAAATGGGGAATTGCGGCTATGTGTAGATTATCGGAAATTCAACCAAAAAACTAGCTGACAGTAGTCCTCTGCCTAGAATTCAAGATGCCTTTGATAGTCTTGGTGGAAGTCGTTATTTCTCACTTTTGGACCAAGGTCAAGCTTACCACCAAGGAGTGATGAGTGAGGAAAGTAAACCCTATAAGCTTTTGTCACGCTTTGGGGGCACTAGGACTTGTGTATGATCGCATTAGGTCAAAAGGAATTAATTTAAAACCTCGCAAATGTTTAATATTCCGTCAGTAGGTAAGATATCTTGGACATTTAGTTACTGCTGAAGGATAAACCATAGATCCAGATGACAAAACTGCAGTGTTACAACTCAAAGATAAGGTGCCTATAAATGTTGGTGATGTCAGAAAGTTATTACAGGAGATATATTCCTGACTTTGCAAGACGCGCAAGACCACTTTATGACTTATTGGCAATTCGACCTGGCAGTTCTTGAAGAAGGCTACAAGGAGGACAGGTTTCATCAAAAGAGACCATAAAGTGGACTACAGACCACAAGAATGTGTTACAGGAATTAGTCAATTCCAGTCACGCCACCTGTTATGGCATATCCCCAATTCGACAAGACATTCTTTCTTCATGTGGATGCTTGTGATGAAGGTTAAGGAGCCATCCTGTACCAAGACGATGATGGTATTATACCGCATGTTGTGGCATATGCACCTCGCACCTTATCTCCTGCAGAGAAGAATTACCATTTACACTCAGGAAAACTCGAATTTCTTGCCCTAAAATGGATGGGCTGTGGT